GCCAGAAAAGGTTCCCAAGGGCTGAGCAGACCCCTGGGCCAGGCTGGCCTATGTCAAAGCCCCTGAGCTCTCAGCATCCCCGACCAAGGGCAGGAGGGATCAGGGCCTGCAGCAGGGGAGGGGGCTGCAGGGGCAACTGCCTCAGCTGTGGGGAGGGGCCAGTGGAGGCAGGGAGGTGGGTCATGCCCAATGTGGACATGGATGTGGCAGCTGGGCCCGTGTCCTTCCCCTGGCCAATGGGGTGAGGATGAAAGTCAGTCCCATCTGTCAGCATTTCCTGTGCAGCCCGAGGCCCTGGCCCTGGGCTTAGCGCCTCCCAACCACCATGAGATCTGAATGACTGTCCCCATTCTGTGATGGGGAAACCAAGGATCAGATGGAAGGATTTTGTCTGATGCCACCCGGCCAGTCTGTGGCCAAGGCAGATCTTCTGAGCCAGCCTGTTCTCACAAATCCTTGGAAAGAACACAGTCACCAGTAGCTGAAATCCTGCTTCTAATTTGGCTACATTAGCATACTATTCCCGCTTAACAGGTGACTGCAGACTCAGTGGTTGAAATTAACAACCCTTTACCATGTCAGTTTCTGTAGGTCGGTGTCATGGGCTGACTCAAGGTGTTGGCCAGGCCCCAGTCTCTGGGAACGCAGGCTCCTCTTCCAAGCTCACTGGCTGTCGGCATAATTAGTTTCCTGTGGTTGTAGGACTGAGGCTCTTGGCTCTTAGAGGCTACCCACTTGCCCTGCCTCCATTGGTTCTGCCCATCAGCCCCATTTGTTCACACCATTGCCATTCTTGGAAGGACCTGCAAAATAGCCCTTGAACTGGACCCCCTGTATCAAGCCTCTCTTTCCAGTCCATTCCCAGCTGTTCTTGATGGATCTTGCTCCAGTCCTGGGAAGCCTGCAACTCCTGCTTACAACTAACTGAGGCCTCCTTGGTGTCTTCAGGATTAAGTCTGAGCTCCCGAAGGAGGCATACCAGACCCTGGGAATCTGGTTCCAAATACTGCTTTGGCTATCTCCTGCGACTCCTCTACCCTATCTGACCTGAACCCCAGAGGCCGGCAATCCCTGGGGCCTCCTTGTCTCTGAGCCTTTGCTCGTCCATCACTCACTTTCTGACAAACATTTATTGGGTCCTTGCTACAAGCTTGATATTATGCTGCATGCTGCAGGACTGACTAAGAGATGCCTCCTACCCTCAAGAGTCTCATGCACCTATCAGGAAGACAGACATGCAAACCACAAACCCCATGTGTTCTAGGGGTCTGTGGGCCCAGAGCAAGGGCCTTTAAATCAGTCAGGGGATGGGTGTATCCAGAAGGGATTCCCAGAGGGGGCAACACTTCAGCTGCATCCTGAAGGACAGATAGGATTTATCTTGGTAAAAGAGGAGGGAGGATGTTCTCATTTTTAACAACCCTCTCTTAGGGACTTGTTCTACTTTATATTAAAATGTACTCTAAGCTAAAATAATTAAAACTGTGATATTAGCAATGGAATAGGTGACAGACTAGTAAAACTAAGTCGAGAGTATAGAGAGAGACACAAGCAGACAAGAATTTAGTATATGATAAAGATGGTACTTCAGTCTGATGGGGGAGGATAAATCATTCAATAAATAATTTTAGAAGATATTAAATATATTATAAAGCTGTAATAATTTAACCAGCATGGTACAAAATATAGAGTTTAGAAATAGACCCCAATAGGCCCAAATTTATTTATTTATTTATTTATTTATTTATTTATTTGACCAGTAAGGGGATCACAACCCTCAACACAGTGTGGTCCACACCATGCTCAGCCAGTGAGCGCACCGGCCATCCCTATATAGGATCCGAATGTGCGGTGTCGGCGCTATCAGCACCACACCCTCCCGAGTGAGCCACGGGGCCAGCCCCAAATTTAGTATATGATAGTGGTAGACTTTCAAATTAGTACAGAAAAGATGTATTATTTCATCAAAGGTGTTGACCAACTTGCTAGTTATCTGGAAAAAAACATAAGGATCAAAATTTCAAAAGTAAAAAATTAAACTATAAAAGTACCAAGCCTAAAAAGCATAAAATATAGATTTTTAAAATTAAACCCAATATGAAAAAAGCCTTTCTAGGTATGGCAATTTTAAAACATGACACCCAAATTCTCTGATACTCTTTCCATCAAGGGCAGGGGGTCTATGCCTTCTCTCCTTGAATCTGGGCTCTGTGACTGCTGGGCCAATAGAATATGGCAGAAATAATATAATACCATTTCCAAGCTCAGGCCTTAAGAGACTGAAAGCCCCCACTTTCTGTCTCTTGGGATGACCCATGCTTGGAACCCAGACTCCAGGCTGTGAGGAAGTCCTGGACACCCAGGGAGGTCATGTGCAGATGTTTAGGCCCACTGACTGGCGAGGGCCCAGCTGACAGCCAGCAACAGTGACCTGACAATAAGTGTGGGATGCCTTCAGATGAGTCCTGCCCAGCTGCCATCTGACCACAACTGTGTGAAAGAGCCTGGCTGAGAACTATTAGCCAAGCCCAGTCAACCCCAGAAGCACAGGAGAGAAAAGTAAAATGACTGCTGTTGCTTTAAGCCACTTAATTTGGGGATAATTCATTATAGAAGTCATAAGAACAAAAAATTTCTGTTGGTCTCTCGCCACCGCCTCGTTACCGGGGACCAACAACACAGGGCGGGAGGAGGGATCCCGGACCAGCCGGCGATAACCTCCTGTGGGGCTGAGCGGGATGGTGAGTGTCGCAGGCCCGACCCCCTCTGCGCTTTGGCCCCGGGGGCAAAGAAAGAGACACCGAGCCTGGAGAGCGGTCAAAGCCAGAACTCCGTTTATTTGCAGGGCGGCACAGCTTATATAGGGAAAAAGGGCAGGGCGGGTTTTGATATGAGAGATCAAGCAAAGAGCCAATAAGAAGGGCTTAAAAGGATAGGGTGAGGTGGTGGGGAGGCTTTACGCGAATACGGAACTAAAGTTGCTGAATCACTGGGACCCGGAAGGGCGAGGCTGGCAGCTACGTGCCATTGAGCGCTAGTGAAATGGTGGCCGCGGAGCGCATGAACTGGCGCCCGTGCGCGTCAGGGACCCGGAAGGGCGAGGCTGGCAGCTACGTGCCGTTGAGCGCTAGTGAAATGGTGGCCGTGGGGCGCATGAAATGGCACCCGTGCGCGTCAGGGCGCATGCGCGCAAAGTTATGCCCAACAAATTTCCACATTAAAAAATTAATAAAATCATAAGACAACAAACTGGGAAAAATATGCCATCTATTTACAATTCATATTATGTTCAAAACGCTAATTTCCTTATTGTACAAATAGTTCCTAAGATAAAGATGCCCAGCTCATCTGAATAGGCAAAGGATATCAATGAATAGTTTATAGAAAAGGAAATGGTTCTTAAATGTATGGAAAGTGCTTAAGTTGGCTCAAAAGAGGACTGCAAAATAAAATTGCAATAAGATATCATTTTTAAAAAGTAGTACACCTGGGAAATAGGTGCTTTCATACATTGCTGGTATGAGTGTAAATTGAACAACTTCTATGAAAAACATTTGGCAGTATCTATCAAAATTTATAGTGCACATATTTTTTTTTTTTTTTTAAAGATGACCGGTAAGGGGATCTTAACCCTTGACTTGGTGTTGTCAGCACCACGCCCAGCCAGTGAGCGAACCGGCCATCCCTATATGGGATCCGAACCCGGGGCCTTGGTGTTATCAGCACCGCACTCTCCCGAGTGAGCCACGGGCCGGCCCATAGTGCACATATTTTTTTTGGCCCAGCAACTCTTCTACTAAGAATTTACCTTACAGATGTATTTACACATGTGCAAAATGACATCAACCAAAGGCTCTTCACTGTGGCTCTGCTGGAATAGTAAAAGATGGAAAACAGCTTTATCATCCATTCATAGGGGACTGTTCATTATTTGTCCGGGGCCAAAGAGCCTGGTCATAGCCTGCCCAGGGTCATGAAGTCCTGCTAATAGCCTTCTCACACTAAAGATATAAACCTTTCCACCATTTTCTCCTTCTTACTGCTTGCACAGCCCTAGGCGTAGATCACCGCTGCTTTGCTTTAGATAGCTGAGAAATGTTCCATTTCCCAGAACGATTTGCCCTGTGCTTTTTCCCAGAAAACATTTGCATACTTCCTTATCTGCTGATTCCCTCCTGCTGGCTATATAAGCTGTGACCTTCTGGCTAATAAACGAGACTTGATCAGAATACTGTCTTGTCTCCATTTCTCATGTCTCTTGTCCCATCCAATTCCCACTCCCCCCTCCAGGGTCTGTGTTGAATATCCCGCGGGTCGGGACATTTTTGGCACCCAACGTGGGGCACTGGATACGTGGGACACCGTGAGGAAGATGGCACATCGGAGGGTCGACCGCTGAAAATGAAAGAGTAAAACCTTCGTCGGCCACGGGAACCTGCTGCGTCAGGATAAGGTGAGTAAGTGCGCCCAATAATGGGACAAGAATTAAGTTGTCATGACATCTACATAAGACAGTTACAAAAAGCTTTAAAGATGCGAGGAGTAGGGCCGGCCCGGTGGTACACTGGAGAGTGCGCCGCTTGGGAGCACGGCGGCGCTCCCGCTGAGGGCTCGGATCCCATGTGGAGACCGGTTCCTGCTCACTGGCTGAGTGCGGTGTGGGCACAACACCGAGGGTTGCGATCCCGTTGCCGGTCCCTGGTACGGGCATGACACTGAGGGTTGCGATCCCATTACCGGTCAGTAAAAAAGACAAAAAGGAAAAAAAAATAATTAAAAAAAATTAAAAAAAAAAAAAAAAAGATGCGAGGAGTAAAGGTTAAGTCAAGTGATTTGCTTAAATTCTTTGATTTTGTGAAGGACCTTTGTCCCTGGTTTTCCAGAGGAAGGAACTATTAATTATAAAAAATGGGTTAGAGTAGGTGATGCCTCACAAGATTATTTTGAAACTTTTGGGCCAGAAAAAGTCCCTGTAACTGCCTTTTCTTTTTGGAATTTAGTTAAAGATATGATCCAAGATAAAGATAAATTCCCCGAAGTTTCTGAAACTATGGTCCAGACTGAACAAATATTAAAGGCAGGTTCCAAAACAGATGTCCAAGTCTCCTCTCCACCTCCTGACGAAAACATACATCTCATATCTCTAGAGGGTGATTCAGAACAGACCGCGACACCTGCTGTTAAGCCCCAAATGCCCAAAAAATATCCGGTATTGAAACTTCAAAATAAAGAGAAACCTCTAAATTCTGATCCCTCCGAGGTGGATTGGGGAGATCTGGACACAGAGGCCGCTGAATACCATGCGTCAGATGATGCATTCTTGGCTCAGCCCTTGTCGCACCCTCTCCCTTACAATTTGCCCTCTGCTCCCGCAGTGGTGACTGTATCAGATCCTTTAAAAAATTTAGAGTCAAAGGTTCAACAACTAGAAAAACAAATTCTCTTAGAGGAAAAACTCCAGGTCTTAACGACCAAACTGCAAGAATTACAAACAAAACACATGAATACAACATGTCAAACTAAAGCGACTGGCTATTGCCCTCCATTAAACAACAAGTTAGTCCCCCCCACAGAAAGAGCTCCCATTCATGTAGATCAAAGTCTTTTTGACCAACTTGAGGCCTTCCCAGTATCTGAATCTGTGGATAACGTGGGACGAATTACCCGCAAACATGACAGGGTGGGATTTAATGTTATCAAAGAGCTAAAAGGCGCCATTTCCCAATATGGGCCCATAGCGCCTTATTTCCTTGCTATATTAGAATCTGTGGCTGGGGCCGGCCCCTGGCTCACTCGGTAGAGTGTGGTGCTGATAACACTAAGGCCACGGGTTCAGATCCCATATAGGGATGGCCGGTTCGCTCACTGGGTGAGCGTGGTGCTGACAACACCAAGTCAAGGGTTAAGATCCCCTTACCGGTCATCTTTTAAAAAAAAAAGAATCTGTGGCTGAAAGCTGGCTCACTCCTATAGATTGGAACACCCTTGTCAGAGCCACACTCTCGGGGGGTGATCACTTACTCTGGAAGTCCGAATTTTTTGAAAACTGCAAAGACATTGCTATAAAACACCTTCAGGCTGATAAAGATTGGGGTCTTGACATGTTAACTGGCTCCGGTGACTATTCTAGTATTGAGGAACAAAAAAACTATGACCCAGGTCTATTTTCCCAAATTCAAACAGCCGCTTTAAAGGCTTGGAGAAGGCTCCCAGCTAAGGGGGATTCAAGTGCTTCGTTTACAGGAGTAAAACAAGGGCCTGAAGAGCCTTTTTCGGATTTTGTTAACTGGCTAATGACAACAGCAGATAGGTTGTTGGGCAATGCGGATGCCAATCTTGATTATATAAAACAATTGGCTTTTGAAAATGCTAATCCTGCATGCCAGGTGGCCATTAGGCCCTGCAAAAATAAAACTGATCTTCAAGGATATATTCGTCTTTGCTCGGACATTGGCTCCTCTTATCAACAAGGTTTAGCCATGGCCGCAGCCCTCAGTGGACAAACAGTAAAGGATTTTTTAGCTAATAAAGGCCAAAATAATAAAGGTTGCTTTAAATGTGGCAAGCCTGGTCATTTTGCTAAAAACTGTCAGGAATACAAGACAAAAGCCATAGTCACCAAGCCTCCTGGACTTTGCCCACGATGTGAAAGAGGAAAACATTGGGCAAATGAATGTAGATCCAAAACTGATGCTCAGGGAAATCCCTCACTGTCCCCTCAGGGAAATGGGAAGAGGGTCCAGCCCCAGGCCCCGAACCAAAGGGGGGCTGTCAAGTTTGTCCCAGCCAACAACGACAATCCGTTTCAAACCTCACTAGAGCAACCCCAGGGAGCACAGGACTGGACCTCTGTTCCACCTCCCGCACAGTATTAACTTCTGAAATGGGACCTCAAATTTTAAATACAGGGGTCTTTGGTCCATTGCCCCCTGGTACTTTTGGACTTGTCCTAGGTCGTGGCTGTTCAATATTCAAAGGGCTACAAAATTTTCCCGGAGTAATTGATATGATTTTACTGGAGAAATTAAGCTTCTGGCCAAAGCAACTACGGACATTGTCACGATTCCACAAGGAGAAAGAGCAGCCCAGCTTATCCTACTTCCCCTAGTTAAAACAAACAATAAAGCCCACAATATTGTGAGAGGTGCAGACAATTATGGATCCTCAGATGTTTACTGGGTCCAACAGATTTCCTGTCAAAACCCTCTCTTACCTTGTGGTTGGATGGTAAACAATTCACTGGCCTAACAGATACTGGGGCTGATGTTACTATCATTAGACAAGAGGACTGGCCCGCCACCTGGCCCCTTTGTGATACCTTAACCAATCTAAAGGGAATTGGACAGAGCCGCAATCCTAAACAGAGTTCTAAATTTCTTACATGGACAGATAAGGAAAATAATTCAGGTCTTATTCAGCCGTATGTCATCCCTTACTTGCCTGTCAATCTTTGCGGCAGGGATCTGCTCTCACAAATGAAAATAATAATGTGCAGCCCTAATGAAATAGTTACAGCACAGATGCTGGCTCAAGGATATAGTCCAGGCAAAGGTTTAGGAAAACAGAAACAAGGTATTTTACAACCCATTCAGGCAACGGGCCAACTTAATAAACAGGGCTTTGGAAATTTTTGATTTCGGCCATTGACAAGCCTGTACCCCAAAGGCATGCCGACCCCATTAACTTGCAAGTCAAGCAAGCCCATTTGGGTCGATCAGTGGCCATTAACCTCGGAAAAATTATGTGTCACCCAACAGTTAGTGCAGGAATAATTACTGGCGGGACACATTGTTGAGAGTAACTCCCCCTGGAATACTCCTATATTAGTTATTAGAAAAAAATCTGGAAAATGGAGACTGCTTCAGGACCTAAGAGCTGTTAATGCCACAATGGTGGTTGTGGGCGCTTTACAACCTGGCTTGCCATCCCCAGTGGCAATTCCTTCAGGCTCTTTTAAAATTGTTGTAGATCTCAAAGATTGCTTTTTCACAATTCCCCTACACGCTAGTGACCAAAAATGCTTTGCTTTTAGTCTCCCCTCCATAAATTTTAAGGAACCCATGAAACGATACCAATGGTGGGTCCTGCCCCAGGGAATGGCCAATAGTCCTACCTTATGCCAAAAATTTGTGGCTGCAGTCATCCAACCAATCAGAGATCTGTGGAAAGATATGTACATTATGCACTACATGGATGACATTTTACTTGCCGGCGATTCAAAAGACAGGGTTTGCCAATGTTTTATCCAGCTTGAAAAGCAGTTAGCTTTAGCAGGTTTACAAATAGCTCCAGAAAAGATACAGTTTCATGATCCCAATACCTTTTTTGGGTTTCATATGACGGGACGCAAAATTACTAACCAGAAGGCTTCCATCCGCACAGATCAATTACAAACCCTTAATGATTTTCAAAAACTTTTAGGCGATATAAATTGGCTCCGTCCATATTTAAAACTTACTACTGGAGACCTAAAGCCCTTATTTGATATTTTAAAAGGAAATCCTGACCCTAAATCTTCCAGATCTCTCTCTCCAGAAGCACTGACTACATTACAAGAAGTAGAAAATGCTATTGCAGCTCAATTTGTCTCTTACTTGGATTAAACCCAACCTTTAATGTTCATTATATTCAATACAGCTCTTGTCCCTACTGGGCTATTTTCGCAGAACAACCCTATTATGTGGGTTCATTTACCTTCATCACCAAAAAAAACCTTGCTTCCTTACTTTGATGCTGTTGCAGATTTAATTATTTTAGGTCTAGAAAATAGTAGAAAGTATTTTGGTCTTGAACCACACAAATTAATCCAGCCCTACACCCAACAACAGGTCCACTGGCTTTTACAAAATTCTCATACTTGGGTAGTGGCTTGTGCCTCTTATGAAGGCACAACAGACAATCATTATCCATCCAATAAACTTATTCAGTTTTGTAACTTACACACTTTTGTTTTTCCCCGAGTTACTCGTAACTCTCCGGTAACTAATGCCCTTTTGGTTTTTACTGATGGTTCATCCACAGGGACTGCGGCTTATACCATTAATAATCACACAGTCTGCTTTACTACTTGTTATACTTCTGCCCAACTTGTGGAGTTACAAGCTGTTATTCAGGTTTGTTTAACCTTCCCAAATCAGGCCCTCAATCTTTATACTGATACTGCCTATTTAGCCAATTCTATCTCCCTTTTAGAAACAGTTCCCCAAATCAAACATACCTCCACTGCCACTGAGCTTTTTTTGCAATGCCAAAAACTGATTCAACAAAGACGTTTGCCCTTTTTTATAGGTCATGTTAGGGCACATTCCAACCTCCCAGTCCCTCCCGCCATGGGAAACAAATTGGCTGATGCGGCCACTAAAACAGTGGCCACCATTACCGCTGATCCTGTTACAGAGGCACAAACTGCGCACTCCCTTCATCATATTAATGCTCACACACTTAGGTTAATGTTTCAAATCACTAGAGAACAAGCTAGACAGATAGTTAAACGGTGTCCTTCCTGTGTTACACTCTTGCCTGTTCCCCATTTGGGAGGTAATCCTCGAGGACTTGTCCCAAATATGCTTTGGCAAATGGATGTTACTCATTTATCAGAA